AAAACCTGTGGACTGACACAAGCACAATTTTAAGGAAATCATCACTAAGGAATATATGGAACCTGCCATCGCTGTCTTTCCATTCCGAAAATTCTAGCCTGGCTGTCATGCTGACCCTCTAGCTTCAATATTTTAAATCACTGGCCCAGGATACATATATAATTAAGGACATTCCTGATCTACTAACCTGTTTCGGGTCAGTCACTCAAAACATAATTAAATCAAAGGGGGTATAACAGCCAGGCAGCTATTGTAGTATTTAGATAAAGTCCAGAATATATATATTTTTTTTTTTAACTGTGGGGAAAGTAGATATTCCAGTTTTTGTTCTTTAAAACCATAGGACATCTCCCCTGTCACCTCAGCCAAAATGTCTTGGACAGGGGTTTTAGATCCTATGATTTATTTGATTTGATAAAAAATTAAAAAAAAATGAATGGAAGAAATACATTGTGTATTTTTAGCATGCTGGTTATACTGTCCTATAGCACTCTAAAGGAATTTTAAATTAATATAACCAAACAATAGTTCTTTCCTGCTCTACACCCTTTCTTCCTGTTTCAGATGGAAAGAACTGGTAGTTTTTACAAATTAAAAATCCAAATAAATCAAACTGTGATAACGCTGATATTTTATGGAGCGGAAAGAACAATTTAATATCAGTTGTTAGCCCAATGGAGCAGATTTGTCTACATGGCTTTGAATTATTAGAGGCAAAACCACAGAAATGTAGTACACATAGATGTTGATCTGTAAAAACTGTAGAAAAAAATTAGCCCAAACTGCAAATCACAACTAACCTCCATAAACATTTCATCATAGACAAAATAAGGCGCCAGTTTGCCCCAAAATAATGTTTTAATTATACTTGGAACCTAGTGGGCTGAGTTAGGCATTTCTTTTTATGTCTTATAAACTCCAAAAGCAAGATCTTCCAGCCATAATTCCTGACTCTGTTCTTGCCTGCTTGGGAGTTTGGGTGCTTCTGTCATCCTTTTCACCTTCTACCACATGCAATATGTAATAAATAAAACATTTGGGAACAACTCCTATTAGCCACAGCAGGCATGCAGTTTTAGGAATTCAAGTGCAGAGATGTCATAAATGGAGTCCCTGGATAGATGCACTATATGGCTAACAGTGGCTTAGTGGTTAGCACTTCTGCCTTGCAGGTCCCCGGTTTGAATCCTGGCCAGGACACTATCTGCAAGCAGTTTGCCTGTTTTCCCCAAGTACTCCGGTTTCCTCCCACACTCCAAAGGCATGCTGGAAGGTTAATTGGCTCCTGTCTAAACTGGCCCTTTATGCGTGCACAATAGGGACCTTAGAATGTAAGCTGACTGCGGCCTGAGGGCAGGGACTGATGTGAATGTGCACTATGTAAAGCACTGCGTAGATTGTCGGCACTGTATAAATAACTGTAATTAATAAAATAAAATAAATATTGAGTTTAGGTGCTTCCATTGAATTGTACTGTTATGCTGCAGCATACAGTACAGATATATTTTAGAACATTGTACACTTGCCAACAGTTTGGGGAAGGCCCTACTATTTTCCAGCATGACTGTGCCCCTTTGCACAAAGCCAGGTTCATAAAGGCATGATTTGATGAGTTTGGTATGGAGGAACTGCCTTTAGAGAGCCCTCACCTTAACCCTACTGAACTCCTTTGGGATAAACTGGAGGGGCAGGTCTTCTCCTACAACATCAATACATGAACTTTACAAAGGTTCATTTGGCTAAATGGGAACTAATTCCCACCAACACCCTACAAACTCTTGTGAAAAACCATCCGGAAAGGGTGGAGGTTGTTAAAGCCGCAGGAAGGAAGGACAACTCCATATTAATCTTCATGGTTTGAGAATGGGATGTCAACGAAGCTTGTACGCAGTAGGTGTGTTCGTCAATGGTCTGCAAACTTTTGGCTGCATGGTGTATAAGAAACTGTCAAGTGGTTTCATTCTCCAACATCTTTTAAAAACTAAATATCTTTGTTGGTTGACCATTTTAGCAACAATCCTGATTGGTTAGGCAACAACTTCAATGTTTTTCAGTTGTCATGAATCCGCACCTTAGTTCTCCTGGGAGCCCTTGAGCCAAATACCCCAGATATCATCCTGCCCACCAGGGGCGTAACTAGAAATCACAGGGCCCCATAGCAAAATTTTGTATGGGGCCCCGCGATTGCTAGTCATGCCACTTGCAGAGCCCCAGCGGAGAGTGACCCTGCAGAGCCCACCATAGACTCTCTATATTGGGCTCTGCAGGGTCTGAGATCTCTTACCTGTCAGCGCCTCTGTGGTCCCGGGGCCCCGACTCCTGTTCCTAGCCCCGCCTCATCTGCTATCGACGGGCCCCGCCTTCTCTTACATCACTGGCCCCACCTGCTCTTAGGTCGCTGGCCAGTGATGTAAGAGGAGGGGGGCCCCGCTTCCTCCATTCCGAACACCGCTAGAGCTGCAGCTAACGATTATTTTCAAAATCGATTAGTTAGCCGATTATTGAGTTTGATTAATCGGTTAATCGGATAAAAAATAAAAAACATTTTAAAAAATGGCTCCAGTGATGAGCTACTAGTTTGTATTGAGATTGTAGTCCATCACGGGCGCAAACTTGGAGCGGTGATAGTAAATAAGAAAAAAAAAAAAGTGTGGTGTGCAATATAGTGAAATGAAAAGTGTAAAACTATATAGCAATGAATGCAGAATGGCAATGGCTATAGAGGACTACAAATCCCAGCAATAGTACATTATAGAGGCATACAACAAATGCCAGCAATACATTATAGCTGGCGGTATTCTGCATTGCGCTGTATAATGTACTATTGCTGGGTTTTGTAGTCCTCTATAGCTGGCGGTATTCGCCATTGCACCACTGTATAATGTATTATTGCTGGGTTTTGTAGTCCTCTATAGCTGGTGGAATTCCTCATTGCGCTGTATGATGTATTATTTCTGGGATTTGTAGTCCTCTATACAGCGCAATGCAGAATACCACCAACTATAGAGGGATACAACAAATCTTACCCTCCATCCTGCTCCCGTCCTCGCCGGAGCACTCACTCCCCCTGCGGATATAGGATGAGTCGTGCTCCAGCAGTGTCCCCCCTGAACTGATGTCCCATGATAGAAACTTCATACATGCACAGTTTTGTGACCCCGCTTCAGCAACATAGTTAAAATTACTGCCAGTTAAGTGGCTGCACTAACGATCGTTGAATTGACCTCCTTTTTTAGCAATGGCAATTGAGTGCTGGCAACCATCAACAAATGAGCATTTTAATTTTGATCCTTTAGCTTTTGATAAGAGTAGACTATCAGTCTAAAGCTGACTGACAACAAATCGCTTTCATGTGTTTCTGATTGGGGCTGCAGTCTATTGTTTGTGTTTTAGCAGATTATGTAATAAAACATGGCTTCATTAAGATATTAAGTGCATCCAGATTTTTGGCCGGCACTACAAACCACTGGGGATCACAAGAGTAGCATGTTCAAGTTAAAGCCATGATTAGTACTTGTGTTTCATGACTGCAATCAGAATATTAAGAGATTTGAGTGTAGTAAACTACTGTTCTGCAGCAGGATAATTATATACAAAGTCACTACAAATAAGCTGCAGTCTCTGAGATTTTCTTAAGCAGTAAGATCTAGTTTCAGAAATACATCTCTTCTATATAGTAGAACTGTAGCGAAAATTGATCCTGTTCTTTGTGCTTGGAGCGTAGCGCCAACCATACAGTTCATATCAAACAGTTTTATTTACCAAAGGATTTGTAGTTTGGTATGGCTACTTTTGTTGTTGGCACATTTGCTGATTCCCTTCTCACCTGCCTGCTTGTTAGTGGGTCAGCTTCGAGCCCACTGAGTAGCAGGTGACACAGGAAGCTACAAAGCTGAGACAGGAAAAAGCAGTGTCACCTGCCTAGCTGTGCATTGTGTTAGAGCAGCATTTCTCAACCTGATTTTACACTTAAAAAAGATGCGAAATCTTGAGGCACCCCAGTCTAAATTTAAAAAACGGAAATGTAACATTTCTTTTTAAAGTGTGGCCCCTCCAGAATGTATACCAACCTGGAGAACCCCATGCAAAAACACAATGTAGAGTTCCTCCTTTATATCAGAGTCCCACCTTTACATTAGCAGCCCCTGTCACATCAGAATCCCCCCTCTTACATCAGAATCCCCTCTTTATATAAGTTCCACATGTACATTAGGAACCCCTCCTTTTGCAATAGGTGCCACCGCTTTACATTAGGGGCCCCCTCCTTTCACATCAGTTACCTCCTCTCACACTTGGCGTTTCTGCTACACATCAGAAACGCCTCTTTCACATGATGATCCCCCCTCAGTCCAGATTTAGGGATGTTCAAGTTAAAAGGTTATTAAGCTCTTTCAAATGCTGATCAAATAATTTACAATGGATTGGACTCCATGTTTAAATGATGTTTAATCAGCTGGTCCCCTGAGCACTGATCTTGACATCTTGTTTTAGGGTGGCTCCTTTCCCTTGCAGGGTCCTATGGAGCCTCCATTGTCTGTGCTAGTAAGCTGTGTGTGTCTCCACAAACACACAGGCAGGGCAAGGCAAGTCATTCCCCTGCTACCCTTTCCTACTTCCTCCATCATCTTTTCTCCTCCCTTCTCCAAGCTTGTAAATGTATGCCTGTTGGAGACTGCTCTATCTATTGTCATCTTGTACTGGACTGGAAGTTCAGGGAAGCAGAGCTGAGAAAGTTGGAGCTGTTCTGAAACATGATCTTAATGGCTTGGGCAAAAATGTAAAATAAATATTTTGCTGGACAATATATATATTTTTTATTTTTATCTGGATTCATTATTGAAAAAAGCTTGAAAGTTTAATACTACTCTAATACTTTTCTTGTTATATATTTGTATTGATCGACTTGACATATTTATTTTAGGCATTTTCTATGATCCAAAGCAAATCGCAATATAATGTAAACCTTTTTTACATCTCTGCTGTTTCTTCTTTTTTTTTAGGCAAGAGAACAATGAAAAAGAAGGAAAAAAAGAACAAAAAGAAAAAGAAGTTACTTGAAAGGGCCCAGGAACAACACATCGTTTTTCTCTCCACGGACCGGACCAGCCAATAAAAAGACAATTCATCACCCCGCCCCCTTTTTTTATTTTTATTTGCTAAGTGCACAAAGGCTGCTACATGCTCTTGCACACAAATGGACTGCAGAATGGCTGCTTTAACAGTATTGGTTACAAATATCTTGTGAAAGTATCACAAACCTATTTGTGTTATTTATACTTAAATTTTGTTTATTTTTTTTGTCCTCTGATTTTGGAATCCCGAAGGGTTGAAAATACTGAGTTGAATCAGTGACATACTGTAGATGTGTCAAAGACTATTTTTTTTTAATTATCTTTTGTATTTGTATTTGTATTTTTTTTTTATTCAGTGCCTATAATGTAAACTGCCACTGTGTAGAAATAGGACTTTTGTCTGAACCCTTTGGCAGAGAGAGAGAGAAAAAAAGGACTTGTGTATATCTGTGTAAAAGAAACGAAACAAAAACATTTGAAAGTAGAATTTTTGTTTTTATTATACATCTCTTTTTTTTGTTTATGGTTTCCATACTGTACATTTAAACAATGGTAATTGAAATGTTTGTTTTAGCTGATATTTGTTCTCAGAGTGCCTATTATAATGAAAAACAAACAAACAGTTGTGTAAGAAAACTGTTGATGCTAATAACACAGTAACATGGCAGAAACTGCTTATTGAAACAGCAGCAGTTCTACGTTGTACATAGGCTGAGATGCTACATGTAATAAACTTATTTACTGTGTATATAGTACCAAATTATGCCGGTAAGTTATTTGTTCAGTCTGTGAAGGTTCTCGGTTATCCAGGTCATGGGGTACCTGGAAGTAGATGCATTCAACTAGACTTGTCATTTATCCACCTCGATACCAGGATGTTCCTTTCCAGGCTGTTCTTCAGTTTTCAGCGCTGTGAAAGTTTGACTGACAATTACGCCATCATGAAAAGCTATGTAACCAAATTAATTTTATACATTTTTTTGAAGACAGAGCTTTCTTTTGATACATTTAATAATAAAAATGTTTATATATGTGCGCCGATTATCAGAAATTTGGGCTGCGGATCATGACCCATCACCCGGCTTCCTGATTGCCTGTGAAGCCAGTGTTCCAGCGAAAGAACACTGACATCACTTGCCAGGTTGCCTAGGAACAAGTGAAGCCGGCTTTCTAGCCAATCAGGAAGCCGGTTGGCACGTCATAACCCCTGCTTCTTGATTGGCTAGGTAGCCGGCTGCACTTGTTGCTAGGCAGCCTGGCCTCTGGGAGGTGGGTCATTATATGCCGCTTCGCTTCCTGATTGATTAGGAAGCCAGGCTGCCTAGCAACAAGTGAAGCCTGTTTCCTAGCCAATCAGGGAGGCGGGTCATAACCCACCTTCCATGCTCCCTCGGCACTGCTGGTCAGAGGGAGATCTCCCTCTGATCGGAAGTTCCAGTATCTGTGGCAAGTATCGGAGCATTTGGGGAGTACGAGTACTCGCCCAAATACTCGGTATTGGCACCGATACCAATACTAGTATCGGTGCATCCCTAATAAGTATATTAAAGGAGTTATAAAGTCCCAGGATATACTATCTTATTATAACATCAGCATTTGTAATAGGAATACATAATAGAGTTGTTTTTACTTAAAAAAATCCCTTTTAATGTAGTGAGTGCCGCCTTCCATCTTCCTATCAATTTCACCAACTTCGTGGATTCCCAGTGTGCTTTGTATCTCTTTCCCTGCTGCTTGATGTGATGCGATCTCAAATTCTTGGACTACATATCCCATATAAGAAATAAAAGTGTTAATTGTTTATTTGTATCCAATAACAAAATGGAAAGTAAATGAACAGAAGAGAAATCCTAATCCAATCAATATGTATTTGTTGTGACCACCCTTTGCCTTCAACACAGCATCAATTCTTCTTGGTACACTGGCACACAGGTTTTGAAGGAACTCTGCAGGTAGGTTGTTCCAAACATCTTGGAGAACTAAGCATAGATCTTCTGTGGATGTCGGCTGTGTCAATTAAAGTTACAGAAATCTAAGGTAAAATTGTCATTGTGCTGACAACCTTAATTATAGTCTTGCCTCCACGTTCCTGTTCCAGCAGTTGTGCAGTATGTTTATATACTGCCTGGCCAAAAAAAGTCACACACTCTAATATTTCATTGGGCTGCCTTTAGCCAAGATCTTGTAGTGATGATGGGAGAATCAGACCACTGAGTCAAGTCTTCTCTAGCACATCCCAAAAATTCTCAATGGGGTTAAGGTCTGGACTCTGTGGTGGCCGATCCATGTGTGAAAATTATGTCTAATGCTCCCTCAACCACTCTTAACAATTTGAGTCCGATGAATCCTGGCATTGTCATCTTGGAATATACCCAATGTGCCATCAGGGAAGAAAAAATCAATTGATGGAAAAACCTGGTCATTCAGTATATTCAGGTAGACAGCTGACCTCACTTTTTTGGGAGCATTGCTTAATCTAAACCAGACCAACCGAAGCATCCTCAGATCATAACACTGCCCAAAATCCAGGTGGTCACAATTTTTTTGGCCAGGCAGCGTACTGTTTATTACTGCTCAGTCCAATAGGCACCAGAGTTTGACCCATACTGCTCAGTGCACTCGGTAATCTAACAGATTTGGTAAGACAGACCCCTTCCATTCCACTACAAATCTGTGTGAGAATGCCTATTGGTTTTATAAGCCAGCATTCTCCGCTCCACCCACCCTCATGTGATTGACATGTCAGAGGTGGTGCTTTTACACTATAGCATAGAGCTCACTGAGGGTGTGCTGGACGCACTTCACCTGCTGATACAGTGGAGTGATCTGGAGTATATAGCAGGCCTATGATTGCTGCTGATCACTGCCATACAGCAATTCTCACATAAATGAGCAAAGCACGAATTCTGGCTAGAGCAAATCCGGGCACGATTCTGGCTAGAACGCACTGCATCGCATTGTGGCCAGCTCACTATGTTTTGGGGCAGGAGGGGGCGTGTCGGTCCATTGAAGTTAATGGCACTGTAGCCATGCCCTCCGGCCACAATGCGATTGGCCACACGGGATCGCAAGGCACATTATGCCTGCGGTCTGGTCCGATCAAAATAGTGCTCGCAACATTTTTTTCAGACCGACTGGACGGTACCATTCACTTCAATGGACTGCCACGCCCCCTCCTGCCCCACAACGTAGTGAGCCGGCCGCAATGCGATGCAGTGCATTCTGGCCAGAATCGGGCCGGAACGCACTGCATCAGGTGTGAACGAGCCCTGAATGCTGTAGTTCACCATCACTAGTGTATTATGATGAACAGATTCTTCACTGGTGAGGAAAGGGTTTCTGGGGTGGGAGGTCAGAAAATATTAAAAATATTTTTAAGTCATCCACTCAAGAATCATAACTTACGGTGATCCAAAACTATAAGGAGAATAAAATGCGTGAAGCATCAACTGGACTTTAAAGTGGACCTTTCAGCTCAAATGGCACTTTGACTTATTTACTTCTGACCCTTACAAAAGCAAATACCCCTCAAAACTTTTGTTTTGTACCTCCCTCACAGCCTATAAATTCCAGTCTGTTTTCCTAAGTACTCGTGACTTCAGTAAAGCCCACCTGCACCCTCCTGGCAGATCATCCTCACAACTCCCAGGGGCCCCGATTCGAAAATCATCGCAAGATCCGAAAAAAAACCTGAAAGAGATTGCCTGCTGACAATTAAAATAAACATGGCGACGCAGAAAAGGAGGTTTACCTGGAGTGCAAGTGGTGCTCAGGACACAAAGGGTGGGTTAAAGTTCCTCATAAGTTATTTATTTTTAATGTTAAAAAAGGAAACATTGCAAAGCACTCTCTTTAAAGAGACTTTAAAAAAACTCCAGGCTGTAGAAAAATTAGCCCACGCAGTGGGGCTACACCCACGCTACAAGGGTTAAGTGATCTTTTTTCTCTAGAGACTCAAGGAAGAAATACTCACCCGATCCTCAGTCCTGCCTGACTGCCAGACCGGTCTCTGCAGGCTCTCTTTCTCTGGGCTCCCGTTGTCTAAGCCCCGTTGACGTCATTACATCTAACCCAGTCCATTCACCTATATCAGACATGAGGATGCCAAGGGACATATCACAGCCAAAGAGGTGGGGGAGAAAGGTGAGCAGTGACTGCTGCAGGACCAATGCACCACGCCCCTATAACAACTATTGTATCTATTCTTAGAGGAAAAACAAGGAAGATTCGGGACCTTTCAGGTGCTAAGTTTATGGATTTATACTTTTTTTAACTTAAAAACATGCAAAAACAGGTCAATAATATGCCAAAAATATCTTGAATGCATTTACAATCTTGTAGCGCACCCCCGAAAGGGGCCGCAGAAAATAATACCCATCCATCATCGCCATGTCTAGGGGTATCCAGATTCACATTACCCTTTAGCACTTACCACCCTCTATGGTGATTGATAAAAGTGAGATTCAGACTGTAGATATGATGCGGAGGAACTTTATTGTTGAACTTCAGGGAGAGAGTTTGAGGATCAGGCTGATGTATACTCCTTTAAGTGGCAGGATAGAGTAACTGCAGCCCTCAGGAAAACTGCCACATGACATTATTAATGAATACAAAGCCTGCCGTGATTGGCTCAGCGCGGTATACTGTATGTAGCCGAAGCTACATACAGTATACCGAAGTATACCCGGTTTATAAGACGACCCCCGATTTTCGGCCAGTGTTTTTGGGTCTCAAAACCCGTCTTATACGCCGGCATATACGGTATATGCTTTTTAAAAAAGACAGCTACCTCCTAACTTTTGAGTTTTTCTCTAGTCTAGTCCTGGAGCTGGAAAAGTATCTGTACTTGTACTTTAATTAAGTACGATACTTGGTATATGAACATCCCTACCACTCAGCACAGTACTGTCACACAGAAGATCATGGCCAGCACTGCAGTAGCTCCGGCTACTAAAGTGCTTTACGGGATCCCCAGTGGCCAAACAAGTATGGTATATGCATACTTACATGGGGCCAATCTTTAAATGCTTATCTGGCGACCGGGTGGCAGGATTGGACCACTTCCATGCCCCAGCTACTTTCTGCTTCCTCAACTCTTCTGGGCATTCTGGGCTAGGAGCATAGTCAGTAGACATGTGCGATTCGGTTTGTTCCGAAATTCGTTCCGGACGAATTTTCGGAGATTCGGATGCATCCGAATTCCGAATTATAGCTAAGACGAATGCAAACGAATCCGAATTCCCGATTTCCCGAAATTTGTTAGCGGTAGTCCGGCCGAAATTCTTTTATGGACGAAATTCGTTGCAGCAAAATGACATTTAAAAAAATTTCATATTTTTTTTCCTACAGTCTGCAGAAGATGAAAAAA